AATACTAATGTGCTTCAAACCCCAGAGATCAACCCTCCTCCTCCTCCCTCCCTCCCTCCCTCCCTCCCTCTCTCCATCCCTGCCTTCCTCAGCCACAGTCTTCACTCATTTCTCCACCCCCTTTTACCTTTCAACTTTCCCTCTCTCACATCTCGCCTTTTACACCCCATCTTTTTCTCCTCCCCAAATGCCCTCCCGTTTGCTTCCCCTGTCCCCTTCCTCATACTTCCCACCCATTCGTTTTTTTTTTTCCCCCTCTCCTGCCTCCCACTCCTCTCATCACCTCTTCAGCCTTTCCTCCATCATTTCTGTCTCAGGTTCTTTCTTCCCCTCGCATTGTCCCCTCTGTTCTATACCTCTTCAGGCGGGCATGTAAATGAGGTCAGCACAGCTGAGCGCATCAAATACAACACTCAGGTGTCGGCGTGGGCGTGCGCACATTAAACGCACGCACGCGCGGGCGAAGCGGTGCGTATTCATTACAGGTTGCTTGCGTGCGCTGCGTTCCAGTCCTAATAAAGAATTCCCTCTCTTAAGCCTGTGCGCCAGTGAACCAAGTGCTCCAATTACATAAACGCCTTCACCCCAATACATTTTGACATCCTGAAAATTATTCACGGCCTAATTCGTTTAAAATTGCATCTCGTTTCTTCTGCCTCTTTCATTTTTTTTTTCTTTTTTTGTACCACGGGGCCTGGAAACATGGGGGGTGGTGGGGGGGTGGAAGGATGAGAGGAGCTATTGGTTCCTTGTGTTACACAGGGGACGCAGCTTTTTACGGCAGACCGCCGCTGTAGCAGGCTGGACGATGTCAAACTTCACAGCTTTTTCTGCTCACATCCACAAAGAAACACCGAGGAAGCCCAACCAGCCCAACCCAAATCAGAATGAGCATTTACGAGATAGTAGACTAGAAAGAGATAGAGGTAAAGGGGGAGCTGGGGGGGTGAAGTAAGGGGGACCATAGTTGATCGACCCTTTTCCCCCCTTAAAGTCTTCCTTAAATTCTTGATGGGAGCGCATTTAGGTCTCTCTGTCAGCAAGTATGGCAGAGACGTGCGTCTTTTGTGTTTGTTTGCTGAACTGCAGCGGTGGGAATGACCGAGCCCGAGAAGAGGAATCCATCTCAGTCTGCATTCCTCATGATGTAGAAGCCAGAGAGGAGTCTGGAGCAAAAAACGCAACAGGCTACTGGAGAAAATGACCCCGTGCGCTCACATCTTAAGACAATAACAGCCTCCGCCGGGAAGAAAACTCTCTCTGCCTCCCTCTCTCTCTCACTCACACTCACACACACTCACATTCATACACACACACACACACACACACACAGGGGTGGCTGCACGCAGAAACTCGCACAAACGGGATTCACGCAGATTGTTGGTAAACAAATTAAACTGCAGGAGAAATCCACACTGACACGCAAGCCGCACGCGCGCCCCGGGCGCGTGCGGACGCGCACGTGCACGTCATCCGCGTGTGTCTGCACGCGCACGGCCACCATTCACGCTGCAGGACCACTTCAGGTTTCATCATCTTCTTTCCCCTTGTTTTTTTTTTTT